CTTCTGATACATAGGTAGCAAATGGGCAGGTTGGGAAGTGCATGTAGTCGACAGGATTAACAGTTAATCGTGTCATCGGCTACACATTGACATTCCTATTGGTCACCACAGATTTAAGAGTTGAACTGAGTCACTTACCCTGCAATTTGGATAACCCTTTCTGGCTGTGTCACATCATGCTTTATGCAACTTTTAACTTGCTTCGGATTGTTGTGCTTCAGTCTGTAGTTATCACTTCACAATATGGAGGAATGACTTCAAATACTATTAAAAGATTTCTACAGAGCTGAGTGGAGCAAGAATGGCATTGAGCTGTTGGAGTACTTTACAGCTTCAGCCCTAGGTCCACATGGCACCTACAAGTGCTTCCACCTAATCTGAACTGACATTGCCCTGCAAGTTCGCCTCAGGTTTTGAGGCCGCACAGTTAATGGTAACATCTGCTGTGTGGATCAGCCAAGGTTATCAGTCTGATTCTTTTCACAAGTTATTCATTCACTTCACTTGTTTAGAAGAGTCTTGTGCAATATTATAACAAACATTTTCTTCCCACTTCAAAATGTTCGGCATGCCTCAAAGATGAGGTCTCATCTGATAAAACTAGACAGTTAAATTTGGAGATTGGTTTTCCAATTTGCGTATCTTTCTGACTTTTCTTTGCAGTCTAGACATAGCCTAATTTAGGCTATCTTTTAGAGAAATCAAATACAGCTTTTAGTTTAGGCTTTTGTGCCTTATTTGGGGCTATAAAATAGCTGTCTGGTAGCAACACACTTATAAAGTGAATGAATGATGGGTATCTTAATTTCCAATCCCTCTTTTCAGAAACAATTCGGAGGGAACTTTTCTTGTGGAACATCTTCCTTTCATGGGCTGTCAAATATTATGCAACACTTCTGGTTTCCAGTAAATACTGTGTCATTTCCTGTCCCTGACACATATATAAGGCTTATGCTGATCAAACCCTGGTAGCAAATGTTTCTTAAGCTATCACAGTATCCTTAGTTTTTCTAAAGTTACTTACCTGTGTATCAGCAAAATTTCTTGGCATAGATCTACAAATAAGCTTTGAATAACTAAATATCCTACCTAATTAATTACTTCCTTTATTGCGTACATCTGACTGGTGCTTATGAGTACCGTTTACTGAAATAGAATATGATTTATTTTCCCTTTTTATTTCAGTTACCGCAAACTAGCATTAAAGTGGCATCCTGACAAAAATCCAGACAATAAAGAAGAAGCCGAGAGGCGATTCAAACAAGTTGCAGAAGCATATGAGGTTTTGTCAGATGGTAGGTATCTTAAAAGGGCTAATCTTTGGTTATGGAGTGATACAGAGGAAATGCTGAATAAGTATAGTGCTTTAAAGGTTTCTTCAAAAATTGGTCCATAAATGGCACTTTGTGGTGAGTGGTTCAATTTGGTGCTCTTGGAAAGAAGTGTAAGTAGTTGGACAGTGTAGGGTGGAGGAGCAGGGTGACAGATGAGAAATCCCAAAACACAAGAAGGTTCTTGAATGAGTTAATGTAACAGTTTCACCCTTCATGTTAAATCCTGTGTCTAGAAACCTGTGATTAAGAGAATCCTTGATAAAAGTCCATAAAGATCTGAGAGCATAGAATTTGAAGTAATACATCCTTGGAATCCGTAGTGGTGATGCTTCCTCCTAAACTCCTAAAAGTCTCTTCTTACCAACTCTTCTCACCACTTGGTTCTCCATTTTTTTCCCCCCCCAATCATCTCATGTTAATTGGGATTAGTTCAAATAATTTTTTTCTTTACCAAGTAGCCAGCTGTATTCTAGGGATGTGAATGGATAACCAGTTAATTGGTTACCTGGTAAGCATCACCCTCAACAGATGATGCTTACTGGGTAACAGTTAGCAATTACTGGGGAGCAAGCCACTGCTGGTGGAGGCTTGTGACTCATGGCTCCTAGCCCACATGGGCTGAGGGGCGGCAGCTTTGCGTGGTGGGAGAGGTTGGAGGGGGTAGAAGTGGAAGTGGGCTGGGAGTTAACTTTAAGTCTTTAAAAGCACTGAACATCTTCCCTCCAAATCTGGGTCTCTCCTTTGGCATTTTTCCCTCTTCTCTCATTGCTTCCCAAAAAAGTAAACTGGTAAAGTTGGGCATTCTCCTCTGCACCTATTTCATCTGTATTAATGCTGCCAGGAATATTCATTGTACATGAGCTGGTCATAAGTTTGTTGTTCTATCCAAAACATTATTATTCAGACTAATAGGGGTGTATTACCACCTCCTCTTCAGAAATATCCTTGTGAATTGTCTCTCAAAATAGGGCCTAGTTTGGCAGGATATAGACATGTTTACTCCACCTCATCTTTTGGTTTCTGCTGTCTAATTTGTAAGGATTAAACTGAAACTTCTTCCATAACTGTCCTTCTGTGAGTGGTTTTTTGTGCTTTCCTGTGGAACATTTGCCTCTGAGTGTTAGGGACAGGATATTGGACTAGATGGATTGATCTGTTACAATTGTGTTGCACTGAGATGATTATTTCAGTGTAATATATCTTGGATATTTTTTATAACCAAGCTGTACAAATCATACCGTTGTTATCCAGAGGGTAAGGTACTATGATTTTGATTCAACGTGGCAAATTTAATCCTAGAAAGTGGTTGGAGAGGCAATAAATTCTCCTAAACTTTATTAATAATTTTGTCACTACAGTTTTAAACAGAGATGGGTTTTGGCAAGAACAGCTCTAAGGATGATCCCTGCAAAGAATATTTGACCTGCAGTCACTGTAAAAGTGACTAGTGCTTTTTCACTTGCTTACAGTTCCTGGTCAGACTCCCACTAATGTCAATGGGAAGACTCCAGTGGTAGTTCGATCAAACTGTAAATATCTAGTTGTGTCAAATCCTCTGGCAGTCTTGCACTTGCAGAATAGTGTCCAGACTGCTGGAGCGATAAGCCCCATGTTCTAACGTGCAAGATATCATCAGCCTGCTGTGTCCGTAATAAAAGCGCAGACTAAACTCTTATATAAATGAAAACTTGATTTTCTTTGCCCTCTCCATCCCCCCCCCCCCCCCCCCCCCCCAAAAAAAAAATATTGAAGAATGAAGTTCTGGACTGTAGAATGTGGCAAGCAACTAATTTCAGTCAGCTCTTTTTTGACCTACATGGTCTCTGTCCTTCACTTGCTTTTTCATCCTGCATCCGTTCCTAGCAATTATCAATGCATATCCTTTTTGAAAGAGGCCTTCCTATAATCTGATGTCACGGTGGCGAAGTTTCTTAAAGTTTTGCCACAGTGTATTTAGTTATTTTGGTAAATATATATATAAACATGAAGACCATAGGCTTCCTCCAAGCAAGAGCAACCTTTCAGCATACTAAATGTGTGTCAGTGGAAATTTTGATACAATATAGTGAACATGGCATCTTATTAGCAGCTATTAGAACTAAATTATTGATACTTGTGAAGAGGGTTTTTTTGCACCTGCAGTGCTTTGATCCTCAGCAACATATTTTTACTCAGCATTTTCTGTAGCAAACTTGCTGTGATAAAATTCAGCTGGGTACATTAGAGATGTTTACTGCATTTCTTTTGCTTCCAAGTCAACTTTACTGATGTAGTTAATGTAATTTATTGCAGCTAAAAAACGTGATATCTATGACAGATATGGAAAAGAAGGCTTAAATGGAGGAGGAGGTATGTAGGCATTTAGCATGTTTTTTCTTCTTTGTAATCTGAATGATAAACCGTTTCACTCTGCAGACTTTAGTTTCAGATTAGAACATGTTCTGAAAAACATTTACAGCCATAAGAGCTAAAATCTTTTAAAATGGATTGAAATTATATAGAAATAGAGGCACTAACATTGTTGTTGTTAGCACATACCATAGGATACCAATTTGACATGATCCTGATAAACACACTGGCTGGCTCTAGTCCTGGGAAATGTAAAACAATATTTTTAAAAAGCATATAAGTGGGTATGGTCAAAGTAATTCAGGAAAAGCAAGTTAGAATTTAACTTGGTCTAATGTTTTAATTTGAAAAATATTTTAGAAAGCATAAGACCAGAAGGAGACTCTACAATTTTTCTAAAATATATTCCAGTCATCAATTGTTTTTCAAACAAACGTGACACTAACCTGCAAAGCAGAATCTATAATAGCTTTATTTTTATTTGTTGATGTTTACCCAATTTTTTTAAAGACTATTTTAAGTAATCAAATAATAAATCAGATGAGAAACTCTTCCAAAATTCTTCTGAGAATCTATGATCATAAATAGTTTTAAGTACTAAAATCTAATTTTTAACTTGTGTTTTCGAACTGTAAGTCAGTGTCTTTGTATATTATAAATCAGTGGTTTTCAATCTGTGGTCCCCAGACTCCTAAAGATCTGCAGACTAAGATTTCCAAAGGGCCCTGCCCCTCCTATTCAAAATATTTTGGGTGTCCGAACATGAAAACAAGTTGAAAACCACTGACATAAATCAAGAACTGGCAAGTGATGTGATCAAATAAACCATTGCAAGATTATACTGATTCAGGGTGTAAAGCTGCACAAGACTTCAGCACTGACAAAGGACTCTGATATATTTTTTTTTATGTTAACAATAAGGGCTTAGTCAACTCTCTACCTTCAAATATAGTGGAGTAATAAATAATGATGTCTACACACCTGCAGAAGGACATAAATGATCATTTGAAGATTACTGTTAATTTTAGTGTTATCTAGAAGAAGGGAGGGAAAGAAATTGAACAGTCTTAAACTAGATGAACTGTTTCAATATTTTACTAATTGGACAATCATTGTTCTTTGCTGTTGAAAAACTGATTACAGTAATTTAGGTACAATAAAGCTTTTTAGCTGAATGGGAATTTAACATGAAAATATTGTTTTAACTGTATTAAGTGTTTGAAGAATATATTAGAATCCATCTGAGCGAGGAATGAACTATTGTGAAACTAGAATTCTGTAATTTAAAAAAATATAAAAACACAGCTTGTACATACCATTCAAATAAATTGTGCTTTTGTAGTGTGAAGAGTGAAATGCCACTACTTTTTTGCAGGTGGAAGTCATTTTGATAGCCCGTTTGAATATGGATTCACATTCCGTAATCCAGAAGATGTCTTTAGGGAGTTTTTTGGTGGAAGGGACCCCTTTTCATTTGACTTCTTTGGTAAGTTGACTGCTTGTGGGGGAAAGGGAAGGGAGATGGATCATAATTAAACTAATCCTTTTATAACATGTGTGTAATTTGACTTTCACAGGACATTTTTCTCTTCTCCTTTCTTGTTCTCTGATGTTTGGCATTTAATGGATGGTTTTGTGGTCATTTTATGCTCTTAACATCTGATTTGTTTTAAAAATAGTATATCAAGTTAGCTTTGTACTTTCTAAAAGAGGAAACTAATAAATCACACAACAATCCTGCTTTAGTACATTTAGATTGCTATGTATGGCATACAATCACTTTCTTCCAAAGTCTGGTGCGTGTCAGTGAGAACCAAAAATGAACCGAGAAAAGCACATGCAATAGGTGCAGTTTAACCAGATTCTACCACGGAGTTTAAGAAAATAATACTTAAGCTGTCAACAGAGCAGTTTTAAAAATACTTCTCTTGCCAGCATCATGCCAATGAGCTGTTTTGCTTATGAATGCACCTACGACCTAACAAAAGATCTCACCAAAAGTGCTGGGGATCTTATTTAGTCTCTGCCAGTGCAGCTGCTTTCACCTTTGATCCATAAAAGGGAACATATCCTGTATTGAGCCTTTCAATCCTGGAGCTTCATGGAGGATCCAGGAAGAGTGACACCTGGAAGATTGCAAGAAGAATTCTCTGCCTGTTTACAGACAAGATCTGAGATACAAGAAGTCTCTTGGCTCTTTCATGGAGCTGAAGAGGAATTAATGCATGACTACTGCAGACAGTAGGTGACTTTTATGATTCTCTCCAGAATGGGAAAGGAGCACAAATCACTGTCTTACTGTAGGAATCTGGAAAAAAATAAACTAGTGGGTCAGAGGAAGCTTGTCTACTAAATGTTCACCGTATACATGTACAGTTTATATAGTTTAATGTACAGTGGGAGATATTTGTACTGTGAATTTATTTTAGGGTAATGAGGCTTCCCAGAAACTGACACATGTACCAACATCTCATGATCTTAATCAGACCCCATTTTTCTGTCCTCTCCTTGCCCTCTTATTTACATATATGCCAGCACTATGTAGGTATATAGAAGATCTAGCTAGGTTGACAGTCCACCTTATTTCCCAGAGATTGTGCCAAGTCTATCAAAACATGTAAAACAAATGGGGGAAAGATGATGAAATCCTTGGAAACGTGGGGACTTGTTTTCTAATGTTTTACAGAGGAGGAAAGTGGGGGATTTTAAGGGCTTTTATTTCTTTTGCCCTAGTTGATAAGAAGCAAGAGAGGCTTGGATTCTCTCTGTTAATAATGAAAAACAGAAATTTTCATTCTTTTGGAGATGAGCCCTATTGACCTACAGGAAAAAGAAAAGGGCTTACTGAGGGAAGAGAAGAAAGGAGTGAAAGGAGTCAGGATTTTAGACTTGGTCTCCTATTCAGAAGCTATCTTGTTAATTGCTCTGTAATCTCCACTCTCCCACGTACCATTCTCCCCTCCTCCCTCACCCTACCCCCCATACCTTTAGTACTGGCAACATTTAAATAAGATACATGAGGTAAGGGGGTTACTTGCAATTGGAGTACAGATAAGTGGTGATGGTTTTTTCAACTACAGGTTGAACCTCTCTAATCTGGCACCCTCGGCACCTGATCTGTCCTGAACCAGGGAATTTGTCAGACAATGGGTGATGAATATTGTCTAGCAACATTACCAGTACTTCTGCTGTTCACAGAGATGTTAGAAGACATTTAGGGGTAAAATAGAGCTAAATAACAGCACAGAACATGGAGAGCCAGGGCTGATGGCTGTAAACAAATTTTATGGGACTGCAGGAAAGTTGGCCACACCTGTGATAGGTGGACATATAACTAAAATCATGCTGGACTACAGATGTTGCTGGACCAGAGTGTGTTGGATTAGAGGTTCAACCTATACTTTGATTATAAAATTAAATATTTAAACATGAACTGAGTGCAAGGAAACTTGCATCTAACCACAGCATCCTTACACTGAAACTATTTCATTTCAGTATAATATATAGAAAAATAAGCTAAAGTAAAAAGGTCTACACACATAGCATCTTCATTTTAGAGATCAGCTTCTAAAATAAAACATGCATACATTGAGTAATTAAATACAAATATTAAACCATTTCATTACTGCTTGTAGTTTATTGTTGCTGCTTTCCTGTTCAAATGGCAGATAATAGGGCTAGCTTATAAAGGAGGAAGATGTTTATTGGTACTATCTTATATTTAAGATGACATGTAAATTCACTGACATATCTGGTAGGTGACAAACTAGTTTAGAATTATGAGCTTACTTAGTAATAACAGTGAGCATGTTTCTTTAGATTCCTACTCAGTGGTCATCAGATGGCTGCCTGAGGAGCTTAATGAAGGATCAGAGGAAGGGTTTGTGGAGGATCTGGAGGAAGAATCTAGTGGAGGAGTAGCAGAGGAGTTAGTGGAGGAGCTGGAGGAAGAGTTCAGTGGTGGCTCAGTGGAGGAGCTGGAGGAAGAGTTCGGTGGCGGCTCAGTGGAGGAGCTGGAGGAAGAGTTCGGTGGTGAATCTATAGAAGAACTGGAGGAAGATTTCGGTGGTGGATTGGTGGATGAGCTGGAGGAAGATTTCAGTGGCGGATTGGTGGAGGAGCTGGAGGAAGATTTCAGTGGCAGAGCGTCAGAGGAAGAATCTGATGAAATATTGGAGGAGGACATTATAGGATTAGAGTGGAGGGCAGCAGTTTAGTAGACAATCTGAGGAGGAAGTGGCTGAAGAATTGAAAGAGGAACTCAGCTGAAGATGTTAGTTAAAACAATAAAAGTTTATTTTTGGAAGTGTTTTGATTCCTCTTTACATTGTTTCTTTAGTGGGAAGAAGTGTAACAAATATCTTCACTATCTGCATGTTCAGTCCTGGAGATTGATTGGTCTTCAGATCTCAATCTCAACAAAAGATTAATTTAGGGTTTGAAAAAAAAAATTGAAAATGTGTGGGTAAGCATTTGAGTTCTGCATATGAGGTGGTGAAGATTTTGAGGTTCAGAAAAATTACAAGTAGTTTGAAAACTTTGTAGGTAAAAAGATATACATTTGCATTTTGAACTAGGAAATAGCCTGACTACCTGTCTGGGCATTGGGGACATCAAGGTACGCCTCTACAAAAAAGATCCTGAGATGAACCGGTGCGAAGAGAATGCAGATACCACAGTGCCTGTCAGTCTTGAGGTCTGACTATGGTATCAAGAATTCCAGGTTCTACTGAGTGGTATTAAATATATTTAATGTGTGTGGGGTGATGTGGTTTATTCAAAGACCATACACTATGTAATAGACTTATGGCATCAGCTATCTAAATTCTGCATAGAATAATGACACACCTTGCTTTATCAGTGGAGAATTGTGCTGTTTTCTCTGCTTTTGAGGAACACACAAGTCGATTACTGTGTTTTGATGTTCCCCAACTCCCTGTAGTTGTGCATTGATGCAGAAATCTAATTGTATGACACAAATGTCCTCAACGTTTTTTTCACACTCTTAACCAAAATATCATTGAACTTTCCAATGCTTTTTCTGTATTGTACTTGAAGTGTTGCCTTTATGGGAGGTGCCTGATGCATAATATTGAATTCATACCTAAAATGATACTACAAGTGAAGCCAGTGAAAATTTGACAGCACAAGGATTGAAGTAGGTTAATATTCCAGTTAGAATGAAAAGTTGTGATTGCTTATTCTGACCAGATTACTAAATGTACCATGTGTACTTACTGCTTGAACTAGTGAACCAGAATTATTGTGGATTAGGGATGTTAACTAATGTGTTTGTGTAAATGTGTAACAACTGGATTTTTTTTAGTGGTTATATGTTTACACCCAGTGGGAGCAGGCAGGAGCCAGTACTTGCGGGGAGCCAGCTCCCACCTGTCCCTCTTCTCCCATGCTGCTGCCTCTCTATCAGCCAGATCTTGTTCACTCTGGTCAACTAGTTTAAAAAAAAGTTAATAATGTCTTGGTCAGCAGGGATCTGCATACTTAGAGAAGAGTGTTTTTACTGAAGTTTTCCTACCTCTGGTTAGGTTCCTTTTTCCTTTTTTATTTAGTAAGTTTTGGAGCATCTTTGTTTACTACTCAAGTACTGAACCAGAATAGATAATTGAGAAAATAAATAGTTAGACATAAGAATTGCCATAATGATTCAGACCAGTGATTTATGTAGCCCAATAGCCTGTTTTTGAACAGTAGCCAGTGCAAGGTGCTTCAGAGAATGGCCAAAAGAGATAAGTTGCTTGAGTGAACAACTCCTGTCATCTGGTACTAGCTTCTAGTAGTCAGAGCTTTAAGGACAGCCAAAACATGGTGGTGGTTGCAACATTGATAGTCTTAGCTAATTGCCATTGATTGATCTATTCATGAAGATTACTAATTTTCTAAACCCATTTGTGCTTTTGACCTTCACAACATCCCTACAGCAAGGAGGTTTGCAGACTGACTGACTGCATTGCATGATGTACTTATTCTGGTTTGTCTTTAAATCTGCTACCTATTAATTTCATTGGCTGACTTCCTAGTTAAGTTGTATGACGGGATAAATAACACTGCAAAAAACAGCAATCGTGATTGTATAGATCTATGTCATTCTAAGCTGAACAGTTTGTGTTTAATCTCTTCTTGTATGGAAATTGGTCCATATTCCTAATAGCTTTTGCTCTTCTGTGTACCTCGTCTAATTCTAATATCATTTGAGATGAGGTGACTGGAACTGCATATAGTATTCAAATGATTGATATTGATACTGATTTTTGTTTTTTGTTTTACTATCTCTGTCTTTGCTAATGGCTTCTAACATTGTATGTTTTTTGAGTGTCTCTGTGTTAAGCAGATTTTCCCCAGGGAACTATCCACAATGAGACAGTTTGCTTTCTAAACAGCAGCAGCAAATTTAGATCCCACCATTTTGTGTGCATAGCCGGGACTCTTTTCCCTCATACATTCCTTTTTATATTTGACTTTTGCCTGCCATTTTGTTGTCCGGTCACCTAGTTTAATAAGGTCTTCTAATAACTCATTGTGGTCCACTTTGGCTATAATTGTCTTGAATGATTACATTGCGCAAATTTTGCCACCTCACTGTTCAGCCCTTTTCCAGATCACCTTTTTGAAGAGGTTGAACACAGATCTGAGTTGAGATCCTTGAAGAACCTTGCTGTTTACTGCGTCCCATTGTGAAAATTGATCATGTTTCTTCTCTTAATCATTTATGAGATCCTTCCCTATTATTGTATTGCTGTTTACTTTGCATAAGAACTTTTGGTGAGGGGCCTTGTCAAAGGCTTTCTGAAACACCACTTGCATTATATAAATTGGAACGTGCCTATCCATGTGTTTCTTGACTCCCTCAGTGAATTCTGATTAATGAAGCATGATTTCTGTTTACAAAAATCATGTTGACTCTTCCTCCAACTGTTACATAATGGCAGTAAATATTTCATTTATTAGCAAAAGTAAAAAGATTTAGTTTATATGTATGGGCAAGAAGGGCTTGTAGATAACTTGGTGCTTTCCTGATCTATATTACTGCCTGAAACCAAGATAAAATTACATCTGACTACAGCTTACGTATGTACACCTTAAATAACTGTCTTTGAGTTCCAAGACAGTTGAATTTTAGTAGCTTGATGCGGAGTACAGCCATCAGTCGGTATTATGGAAGAATGCATAGGTGCTGTACAAAAGCAAAGGAAGCTGTTGAGGAGGGGAAGAAAATACTGTGCGCGACATGGTTATAGGCATGTCGTGTTCTGTTTTTATAACTATATGCTTATTCTTTGTTAGAGAATGTAGTGTCTTTTGGGGACACTTAGTTAATTTTAAGGCATTAGTGAAGTGTGCATGGTGTACGCCAAGGATTAGGAAGTGGAGGACTAAGCATGGAATATGAGGAACAAAGGTCAGGGCAGTTGGGGGACTGCAGCAGTAAAAGTGGACATCGACACAGGGAAGGGGCACCATCTGGAGTGTAAGGCTACAACTACATTGTGGAACTCATGATGTCCTAGCCCCCTAACATAGATGCAGACTGCGCTGGCAAAGGAGTTTCTTCTTTTAAGTGTCAGAACTCCAGCTTTCTGAACTTAGTACAAAGCTGCATAAACCCTGAGTTGATTGGCTTATGTAGAAATGTACATGGGCAAGTAAAATTCACCTTTCCACTTACAACCAGAGTGGTAGGCTGCAAAACAGACCGTCCCAGGACTACTGCTCCACTCTGTGCTACAATAGTGGCTACTTCATCCCACTTATATTGCAGCAAACACGTTCACTTAAATATGGATCTGATGATCCCTCCTCTGGTCAGCACAGACTCTTTTTAAAGCACCCAGAATATGTGCAGAACTTTTGGCAAAGTGGCTATAGTGCACATAGCTTTCCCCCCGTATGGCCTCCAACTTGGGGCTTAAATACGGAATGTGGTTGATGGCCGGCCACATCACTGGTGCATTGCATCCTTAATGTGTAGTACTGACTGGGAAAACTGTTGCTCTGACAGTCTCCAGCTTCCCCCATGTGCACTGGCCTGGTGGTGTTCTGAGGCACCCAAAGCTGAAGGGAGGAAAGAAGAAAAGCCATCAAAACAGTATATTTAAAAAAAAATACAGAGATCCTGGCAGCAGGAAGAATTGTTTTTCAGCCACTAATGGAGGTATTATTGACTTTAAAAACTGTCAGTGGCAGGCAGATCTGTAAATAAAAGTGTGTAAGTTAAATCTTGGCACGCCACTTCTGAAAGATTGCAACCCTTGGTCTATCCCCTTCAGGCTCCTCTTAGCTTGTGTTACTGTTGTGACTGAGATAAGGAGAATTGGGGTTTGGTGGCACAGGTTGCTTGTAAGGGGCCAATAGTGCAATAGATTATAAAAATATATATTGTAGCTTTGACATGAGTGTTTTTGTTTTTATTTTAATACCAGGTAACTGAACATAAGCTGCATTATAAATAGAAAGCATAATAGTGGCAGTAATATAATATAGATCACTTGTATGCATGAGTAAATGACCTTCATAACTCACTAGTGAGTCATTCTCTAACTAGAAGGAATAAATTGGACTATACCACTGTTAACTGCAATGGCTTTATTTGCTAGCTAATATGCTAGACTGAGAAACTCTTCTATGCTAGTCTTTGAAATAGCTACTCTAGGTATATGATGACTTGGCCAGTAACATTTTTTATGTTGAAAGTTGGTCCTAAGATTTTACTATTGCAATTTGGTGTTAAAGGTGATCTACAAAGGATTTTTTAAAATTGAGATTTAAAAAATCTGAATGTTTTAACGTGGAGAAAAGGGGCTAAAAGCATTTTAATGGAGGAAAAACACTGCCTGAATTTTACCTCACAATTAAGTCTGGGCTGTCTCTCTGTTTCTGGTTTTGTTGGAGGACCAGTGAGACGTGCAATAGATTTTTGAGTTCTAATTCATATTTGATGGGAGTAAGAATATTAGAGTGCCAGCAAAGGCTTCTTTTATTCAAAATTTAACTTGTCACGTATGTTAAGTAGGTGTAAGTAAAACAAGCAGAGGTTTAAGGCGTGACTTAAAAATCCCATCTTTCCTTTCAGTTCTTAGCTGTTTTTATTTGTAATGTTATTTTTCTAGCACTCGGTGATCAGTCTTCCAACCTAGTCTGGAAGTGGATTTTAATTGGGAGGCAAGGAAGGAAACCTGCTGTAGGTCTCTGATTTTTCACTTAACCATTGTAACTAGAATTACAAGTTGATTTTATTATGAATTGTCTGAAAATGATAATGGTCCAGATTCAGGAACACTAGGACATGCTTAACTTCAGCTATTGCCTTCAGTGGGACTTCAGGATGTAGTTATTATCCTTTTATTGAGAAGTAACCCATTCTCTGAAACATGAAGACAGATTTGGTTTAGAATAAGAAAGTTCTGTAGTTGAAGAAAGTATTACAGACCTCATAAATTAGAAAATAACTCATTTCCGGTCACTTTTACACTTTTAAACTCTCTCTTTTTTGCAATGTTATGTTTTTCAATAACAATTACAGACCTGGTAAACATGTCTAAAACTGTTCTGTAGCTAACCCAGACCTGTAAAATATTTTGTAAATGTTGCCAGTGTCCTGTGTGGTGTAGTACAGGGTCTTGTACAATTCTACTGCAGTGAGAACTTTAATCCAAAATAACTTGCATTCATAATTAAAGATCCCTACCTTAATGGCACATTGTATTGTGTAAATCATGGTTTTGTACAAATGCTGATGCTATGCTAGTATGATGTAAAACTCAAACATAAGTTTCCTTATACTTATATTCTAGTGAAATTTCCCTTTTATCTGCAGCTTTCTATAAAGTAATAACTTCCATATAGGTATTCCATAGTTACTGATTATAACACACTAGTCAGATTATAACACACAGTTACTAATTATAACACATAAAAGGAAAAAAAAATCTGTTCCAGGGAATAGAACAAGTGGCCTGCCAGTTTTATTTTATTCAGCTACAGGTCTTTGAGTTCAGCTGGTCCTTAATTCAGGGAAATGCTTGCATGGCCCGAATCTCTGCACCTCTGGGCTTGCTATATCAGGTATGAAAGTTGTAAAAAAAATTTCCTTGAACCCCAGCACCTCTTACATTGCCCATTAAGCACTGCCTTCAACCCTCTTTTCTTCCCAAAAGTTCTTATCTGAATTTCCTCTTAAGATCTTAAGCATCTAATCCTCAAACTAGAAAGCTTAAACTAAAACGTTTGCAGATCCTTTAAAAGTGAATATTTTAACTTCCTGTTTCCAATACCTTTTACATTACAGACTTAATGGAACACTAGCATATGTTGAGTCTGTCTTATGCAGAGTTCTGGTGGTAATGGCCATCCAATAAATCTTGAATTAAATTCTACAAGAAATCTTAGATTATTTAGGGATTGAATCAGATTTAATAACCACAACTCCACTTGAGAGATGATATATTTTACAGAGAAAAGGGCTTTTCTTGCAGTAACTTTTGATATTTTGACATTCTAATGTTGAACAGCATGTAAATTGTTCCCTTTCTGAACCAAAAAAGTTGTCATGTCTTGATACCATGGTTAAAGCAAAGTGTTCTTTGTAGTTAATGGCCATGTAAGGAGGAGACAAATTCTTAATTACCCAAATGTTAACTGATCTCCTCTATGTGAATTTGCTACAAAACATGGATTTGTGTGTGCGTATATATGAGCCATATAGTTATTGAATAAGTAGTAAGGCTTACTTATATAGCATAATTCATGTGGAACACATTTCTCTGCTGAAAAGTGAATTCATGTTTTTTCCTGCTTCCCTACCCCTGTATTTATTAGTTATTTGCAAACTGGAACAGAATCAAGGAAGCAGGACTTCGTTCTTAGCATACCCTTACTTTAATAATAGTTCCTAAAGTTCTGGAGGCCAAAAACAGCTGGGTGGATGTGAGAGATAATATTGGTCTCTTACAGGGCTCAAGAGAACACAGAATTGCTATATTGAATCAGACCTGTGGTCAGATCCTGTCTGGCAGTAACCAGTACCAGATGCTTCAGAGGACAGCGCAAAGCAACTTCCTTCTCTACTGAAAGTCCCCATAGTTATTAAAGAACTACTGAATAAAACTGATCCCTTTCATGTCCTCTATTGAAGTCTGTTTTTTGTTGTAGAAGATCCCTTTGAGGACTTATTTGGAAATCGCCGAGGTCAACGTGGGAACAGAAACAGAGGTGGTGGGCCATTTTTTTCAGCATTTAATGGTTTCCCTGCATTTGGGAGTGGTTTTTCTTCATTTGATACAGGTAAATATTTTAAATCAACCTTAAAGCCAAATATAATAATGCTACATTAGTAGTTTCTCTGCAGTAAGTTGGTACGGCATGTTTGAGAAATTGAAGCCTGTTAATTTCACTGGAGATTCCCTTAGTTTCAATAGAACCACAGTGTTGTAGAGAATTTGTTCTATCTAAAGTCTTATATAAAAAAAGGAAATAAGCCCTATCAAAGGAATTGAATCTCTTCTTCTGCTTGATCTTTTATTTATGTCCTTACACTGGCCAAGTCTTAACCTCTCAGTATGTCAGTTTCTATATTGGTGTTACTTACCTTACTTAGGGGGTATTTTCCAATGTTTTTTAGAGCTCTAAAGGCACATACTACACCTTTTTAAAAAAGATTATGGCCTTTTGTGATCTCAATTATTGGAATCTAGTTCAGTGGTTTCCAACCTTTTCAAGCCTACAGACGCCTTTTCAGTCTATTAATTTCAAAGACCTCTCCCTGAGGAAGAAAAATAAAAGGAATAGAAAAAAGTAAGGCTTGAGCCCCCCCACAGTGGGCCTGATCCTTTTTTTTAAACTTTCCACGGACCCCCTGCATTACTGTCCATGGACCACAAGTTAGGAACCACTGGTCTAGTTCAATGTTAGAGGCCTTGTTTTCACAGCTCCACTTAGTCAGTGGGAGTAGAAATTACCAAGTTACTGGACTTGTTGGGTATCTGAAATTGGGGAGCTGGAATTAGTAGACCAGAATTTGATGGTCCAGCAGACCAGCTGGGAAAAAAACAAATTTGGCAGTTGCTTCTGTAGTATCTTTCCTATAGTAGGAGTTGTTACACTATCTGACCCATTGCTGAAGCTTATTAGCTGATATATTTTTGCTTTTGTGCATGTGCACAAACTATATAGATACCATAATTTCATTAGAAATTTCTTCACATTGCCTTATTCAAATACTTTCCATGTCTTCTCCACCCTCCAGGTTTTACTTCGTTTGGTTCACTGGGACATGGGGGCCTTACTTCGTTCTCTTCTACGTCATTTGGTGGCAGTGGGATGGGTAGCTTCAAATCCGTATCAACTTCTACAAAAATAGTTAATGGCAGAAAAATTACTACAAAGAGGTAACAATGATGTAAACAAGTTAAATGTTGTAAAAGAATTGGTCAATATTTTTTGAATAACTTTATTTACCCTTACTGTTTTGGTGTCCTGTACTGTGTAACTTAGATCTCCAGTTGTGTGAATTGTAATGATAGATCGGTTTTGATTCTCTTTTCTTTCCAGGGTGATGCCCTGCTACAGTATGTGTAAGCATGCACAAGTTGGGCAAAAAGTGTTTAATATCCTACAGTCAAGCGTTTATTTAAAAGTGGGGAAAACCCGTGACAGCAGTACCCTGTATAGCCTGATTGGTGTTTTGGTGAACTTCTTTGGCAGTACGGGTTGAACCTCTCCGGTTCGGCAACACCTGTGGTCCAGAATGATTTTAGTTAGCTGGATATCCACTTATTATGGGTGTGGTCAAGTTTCCCACAATTCCATAATTTGTTTACAGCCACCAGACCTGTCTCTTAGTATTCTGTGCTGCTGTTTAGGGGTAAATTAGAGTTAAATGTCTTTTCAGAGCTCAGTACGTGGTGCGAAGTGTTGGTAATACTGCTAGACAATATTGACCTCCCATGGTTTGGCAGAGTCTCTGGTTAGGCACTGGTCAGGTCCCAAGGTTGCCAATCTAGAGAGGTTCAACCTGTAGTGGATAAGGTTTTGGTTTCTTGAACAGCTATTGCATCAGGAAGTTTACCAGTGTTAGACTGAGACATCAACAGTTGAAGTCAAGTCCCTTTATTAGCAAATCCACCATGCAGATAAATAATCCCATAAACACCAAAATAAAACTGCAGATAAAGTGAGTGTTTGGTGCATAGAATCTTCCAATGACCTTCCCAGCAGATAATGAGAGTGATGCCAGTAACAGGTTTAAACAAACAAGCATTAACTGCTAACAGGAAGAAAGTTATTTCAGTCCAGGAGGAAAAATGCTGTTAGCTGACATAGTAGTTAACCAAGTAGTAACTGTCCACAAATTATGCTTAAAATTACCCAGGCCACAAACTCGTTACCAGTGTTAAGTTGTGGGATGGATAGGATTTTTTTCTTTGACTAGTAAAAATAACAATGAATTGCTCACGCAAGCAAGCAGGAAGCTATTGCAACATATGGAACACAGGTGTACTGTGCTTAGCATAACTAGCACTCTGAGAAAAGGGGTAATGTTTGCATGATATCCTTTTGAAAGACTACCATCTTGTGTGCTGTGGCAAGAAGTTCATGATCTTGCTACGTGATCTCTGAAATGTAGGTGTAGTTATACAGGCAGTCCCCGACTTACACGGATCCGACTTATGTCGGATCCGCACTTACGAATGGAGCTTTCTCGCCCCGGAAGTCGGGGCGAGAAAGCCCCGTTTGTAAGCTGCTCCGGTGCCCCTGGTCTGCTGGAGACCGTCTCCAGCAGACCAGGGGCACCGGGCGGGTTCCCGCGCTTCTGAGGCTTTGCCAGAGGACCACAGGCACCCAGATTGAAGCGGCAGCAGCGGCGGTTCCCCGCGCCTCTGAGGCTTTGCTTGTGTGACTTCTTGCTGGCCAGAGTGGCAGCTGAAGTGTTTGTTGTGATAGAGGATGGACCCCAGACTTGGGCTGTAAGTAGCCTTATTTCTAAGCAATTCACCCTGATTTGGCCCTCTCAGTGGTGCTCCCAGACCCGGTTATATTACACATGTTCAGTGTAGGAAAGCATCCGAATGTTTTTGCACCAAACACCTCAGAAAGAAGTATTAGGCCAAACACCGGCAAAGGCTTTCTTAACACACTGACATTGACTTCAGTAGGATGCCTGATAGTACATCAGATTAAGCTAACAAATAAATCTTTGAAGGCTTTGGGTTTCGAGCTTCATATTCATCTTAGTGCATACACGTTTTAATTCAAAATGGGGGTCCTCGAGTTGCTAAAGTTCAAGAACTACTGCTCTAGGCTATAGAGGGTTCAAGAAGGTGTCTAATGGTGTCTGTGTTAGTGCCCCAGACATTTTAGGATAACTCAGCTGAAAAACAAAACCACCTTTACCTTCTTGCTTAGACAGGGCTATAGACAAGATGGAAATTCTTTGAATCTACACCAATGTCACTGGAAGGTTTGGGTCAATGGAGCTATGTAAAGTTTAACAGGATTCTCTCATTTTCTCTCCCAGTAGTTGTCCATCTTCCATTCCAAACACTATCCTGGCTGCAAGCAGGAAGGAGCGACCATGCTCGTCTTTCCCTCCCCCTCCCCAACTGGAGCAACAGTGAAGCCAGCATCCTGGCAACCTACTTTACCAAGGCCAGGAACCCACTGTCAAGCCTTCAATGAAGGCTTATTGATTATCTGCTGAAACTGACCAGCGCTGACTACAGGAAGCCCCAGGCAGAGTTGCTCTGCCCCGGGCTTCCTGGAATCAGCTGCTGATCAGTTTCAGCAGCAGCTGACTTGGGGACGCCTGGGGTTCTTAAGTTGATTCTGTATGTAAGTCAGAACTGGCGGTCAGTTTCAGCAGTGTCTGAATCTGGACGCCAGTTCCGACTTACATACAGATTCAACTTAAGAACAAACCTACAGTCCCTATCTTGTACGTGCTCTGCCCCGGGCTTCCTGGAATCAGCTGCTGATCAGTTTCAGCAGCAGCTGACTTGGGGACGCCTGGGGTTCTTAAGTTGATTCTGTATGTAAGTCAGAACTGGCGGTCAGTTTCAGCAGTGTCTGAATCTGGACGCCAGTTCCGACTTACATACAGATTCAACTTAAGAACAAACCTACAGTCCCTATCTTGTACGTAACCCGGGGACTGCCTGTAATTTAAAAACAAAGAGAAGCCCTGTCCATGATGACAGAGCAGACAGTCTTCTTTGGAGAGAGCAGAGAGCAACTTTCTCCTAACCACTATTACAACTATTTTGTGATTCTTTACTGAGTAGTTCCTTCCTCTCGTCAGAATAGACCTCTATCAATTTGGCTTATGCAGAAGTTTTTCATTTCATATTTCTGTACTCTAAAATCAGGTTACTTATGGATAGTATTAATATAACCACCCCTAAATATTGCCTACACTTGTGCTTTAAACAATTATAATCAAAGGGATAAAATGGACTATTTTTCAAAACCAAAATTAAATATTTAACAATGGGGGGGGGGGGGGGGAGTGCAACATCAAGATTGCCTGTGAAAACCAGTCGAGATGCAAAAGTTAATGTGTTTGAACCTTAACTTGGCCACGTTAAGCAGCATGAAACAACATACGCTTAACTAGTTAAATGTAATTGAACATTGAGGAAAATGTACACTAAACACACAATCTGCTGAACACTGCTGCATATCCTGACTACTGCTTTTAACTGCAATACACAAATTGCAAATGATGCTTTTTGCATGGCAGGGAGGGGAGAAAAGGAGAGAGATGAAAAAACTTCAACCGAAGAGGAGAATTGGGATTATGGAGAGTGCAGTGCAGTAGCAGGCAACCTGCGTAATCTTATTGTAGGCCACAAGACATTTTGCTGTTGTTGACCCCCCACAGCTCCCAGTGACTGACTGGTATGCCGTTCCTGGCTAAATGGAGCTGTTGGGGACAATGCCTGAAGGCAGATGGGTCAAAGAGACCTACAGTCAACATCAGCAAAATGTCTTGCGGCTTGAAAATCCAGTCACCCTGATGAGCCACAGGCTGCCTGTCACTAATGTAGTGCCTCTTCAGCTGCAGCAAATGTTACAATGCTGCCTATAACACTTCAGTATAATACATGGGAGGGGAGGGAGTTAGTCACTTCCAGAAGGGCTTTTCATGGGTTGGAAGAGAAGTTTTTTACTTTTGATCCCTACTGTTGAATGTGATCACTTACTGCAGTTGTATCCGCCAAGTATTAGCCCTAGACTTGGGCACAGTATTTCATTATATAAACATCTGCATGTGTGGTGTACTTCGATCATATTGAAATTGCTTTACAGTTGTGCTTAAATGGATTTTATCCTACAGAATTGTTGAGAATGGACAAGAGAGAGTGGAAGTTGAAGAAGATGGCCAGTTAAAGTCATTAACAATAAATGGTAAGGAGCAGCTGCTACGCTTGGATAACAAGTAATTCAACGCACGTGTTTAACAGAAATGTTAAGCTATAACAAGCACCATTTGAGGAGTAACAGGAACATTTTTTTTGAAGATTTCAAACGAACTCTTTCAATATCTACTTAATCTAAAGTATTTATAAACAGCTCATCGGAGCTCATGGTATTTGTCATAGACTTTTGAGTTAATTGTTGGGACCACATCAGTAGGACCATTTTTTTGTCCTTAAAACTGTTGTAAATTTCTGTATGCACTTTGCTTTTTATTAAACATGATCCAAGGTGAGCCGTGAACCTTCAGTAGTGCTAGGGCAAAATGTACACTAACCACTAGCATGAACCTTGCTTTTCCCATTTTGTTTGAAATGTGAGCCAGCTGGTAGTTTGTCTGCTGTGAAGTTAACATTTCAAAGATGAACTTTTCAATAATTTCAACTTTTTTAATATTTAGTAGTGAAAGATGTTAATACATTCCTGGTAATGCATTTCTGGTTTAAATAAATTAAGGATGTTTTCTAGTTGTGCATGAATGCCGACAACTTAGTAAGTTCTGACAATGTTTAAATATGTAATGTTTAAGTCTAGGAAAACAACAAAGTAAAGCTGGTGAGCTGGGTCTTTTGTCAAATGCTAAAAAATTCAAAACGAATAAATGCTGATGTTTGTGGTGCATTCTTTCATGGCTGGCATTTGTAGCCTTCTTGTGTCTGTGTGTGATTTGGGCAAGTGGGGAACCATATTTTGCTTTTCAGCAACTGCTTCCTTCAGGATGAGGGGCTTTTCTTTGAAGGTGTTTTCTTCAGTGTGACTGAAAACATAGCTTGTAGTTTCCTTTTCAGGCCTAATTGTGAAGTGTTTTTATGGTGTTTCTTCAGCCTTGTAACTAAGGTGTCTAACAGAAGAGTACTATATCTCTGAAAACACTGCATTAAAAATCCTTTTGGAAGGATGTTTTTTTCACATGAAGCAATATGCCCATCTGTAGATGGACTTCCACAAAATTATCAGTGACTGTAAATGAAGAGCAAACCCAGAGTGTCTGAATTAGCAGTATTTTCTAATGTTCTGGCATAGATGTAAAAGGAAGAGAAATTGTGATGCATAAATGCCAGCATCTTCAAAATTGAGTCGTCAAGAAACTAACTTTAAACTGCTATTGATGTGGTGTCTTCAGCTGCAAACACTTGAGTGCCACTGGTTTACACACTTACTAACCAACATTAAAATTGAGAAAAGTGCTTACTTACATTAACGGAATGAGGAGTGATGCAAAGTAATAATCTGTAGATAATGCAACATAGTTAAAACAATGGAGACCTATGGCATCTTAAAGACTAACAAGTTTATTTGGGCATAAGCTTTTGTGTACTGGAGCCCACTTCATCATGCCAAAAAAAGCTTATGCCCAAATTTGTTAGTCTTGAAGTTGTTTTTGCTAAAATAGACTAACGCAATTATCCCTCTGAAACTTGAAAATATCATCAGATTTTCAAAGCTAGGCAAAAGCATCCATGACTCCTTAGGCCTTCTTTATACAGTAAATATTTCTGCTCATTCATTCAGTATTTGATATACTGGATATTTCTGTATCTAAGTAGTGCATGTGCAATTTTATCATGCAGTTATCTCTGACCTACAGTGAATTATTTAGGCTTGTTTAACATTCAGAAATATCTCAAATTATATGGTTTGAAATGATAATTAATCCTTTCTAGACCATGCTGTCTGATGTTACATTACACTAATGAATGTTTAAAATCTAAAGTTCAGGACATGGAAAAACTTAAATTTTTCTTAAACCAAGAACAAATAACTGAACAAATTGTTTTAATTGTTGGTGACTGTAGTGAGGTTAAAAAAGGTAATGAGGTTATACAATTTTAGATTTTTCTCTTCCCCACCCCTCCCCATAAAATTGAATCAAAGAATTAGAGGGTAGGAATAAAATAGAAAAGTTATACTTTTTGGTTGGGAGATCAAAAGGTACGCACCCTTTTCAAGTTTGTCATGTCCTTGCAATAGAAGTATTAGCAGTTCAGAACTCAATCTAGTAATTCTCCATGGCTTCCTTTTCAGTTTTCCTCCCATGTGCACACCACTCTTTGCCCAAAAGATGAATAAACAGAGGGACAAGAAGTTATTTAAATGTTTTGAAATACTGTTGTCATTAGATCTGAAAATAGACACAATGCACTCCCCCCGAGTGCATTGTCTTCAATTGGTTGCAATTCCTACCTATGAGAGACGTGTGGCTTTTCTACCTCTCTAGCTGTTTGGCCTAAACTGAGTTATAAATTGCATTATCAGGGAAGTCACCATGTTGAATTCTAAAGATCCAGTCTGGATGTTGCTTTCTATGCCTTTAGATTTGCATAGTTGGCATTTTCAGTGTTAGGCCCCATGAAGTTATGAAATGTGGCAACACTGCACTTTTCAAGTAAAACGGGAGAACGGGGGGGAAAAAAGCTGGCCAGTGATCTGTTCATTCTCTAATTAGTCCATCAGCAAAAGACCTGCACAATATTAAAAAACAAACCTACCTACACACTAACATCTGTGGGACCCTTGAACCAGATAGCTATTTTGATTTGGTCTCGGCTTTTACGACTTGACTGGCAATTTCACTTCCCAATACTGAGTGCAGTGGTATAAAGGCTTTTTTTATGCCCTTGGTAGGAAAGGCTTTAAGGCTCCACTTGGTTTCAACATGAAGATTGCTGTTATTTCAGAATAAATTCATCCTTGCTGCTCAGTCTTAATTGTCCCTTGCTACTGTTCATTCTGGACATAAAAATCAAGCCTGAGACCCTATGACTGCATGTCTCTGGTAGCCTTAATGTGTTAAAATGGTCTCACTGTTGTAATACAGAAATGGGTTACTCTTTTCTACCATATTGAAAACCTACTTTTATTAGGTTGCATTTAAGAACTTTGTATCACTTTTCTTACTAATAAGTTCTTTGCATGTAAGACTACTCCTTTGAAGTAAAGGGATACTTTGGGTGCCATATTTAAATCCTCATTAACTTTCCCTTCTGCATGGTCACTAGAAGAATACCTAGTAACTGGTATACCTTTTCTGTTCCAGAAAAATCTGCACTATGCTTCATCAAATATGTAGAGTAAAATGGGACTAAATGGACATTTTTCGTCTTAAAAGCTATTTGACTAAAAGTAGGAGAAATGTACAAGTTGGGACACAGATTATGATAAAGCTTTCTTGAGATGATTTTGAAATATTAGAAGAAGTTTCCAGAAATACCAACTTTTCTGTGATCTGGACTTTCATGTTTAGTTTTCAGTCTACTGGTAGCGTACAATATTCTTCTAATGCTTTTCAGCTGCAAGGACCATGTGCCTCTAGTCACTGCATGCTCTTTGCTGTGGGAGAGGGAAGACTTCGCACACTGTCGCTGCCCCCAGCACAATCGTAACTCACATTGGCCAGAAACCGGCTGTGAGAGTGGTGGTGATTGTGCTGGGGTGGAGGCAGTGCACAGAGACACCTGCCTCCCCTTCAACACTCCCTGGTATGTGGAGCAGAGGCACGTGGCCCTAGCTTTGAGCAGCTTGGGGCTGCACCTGAGTTTCCCACTGAATTGGTTGGGAGCTGCCTCCTAGCCACAGCTAGCATCTGGCACCACACTCCCTTCTATAGCCCAACTCCCTGCACCAGTTCACCACCCCCTGTACAACTGCTTCCCAGACCCTGGCCCTCAGGCCAGAATCCTCTCCTGCACCTATACCTATTCCTTGGATTATTACACCCTTTGCTCCCCCCAATCCCCTGCCGTAGGTCATTACCTAAATCCTCTGCATCCTGGTCGTACTCCTTTCCTAGGTCAGAATCCTCTCCTGAATCCCTCCCCCTTCATGGATCCTGAACCCCAATCCTCTGCCCCAGGTTGCAATTCCCTCCTTCACCCATTCTCCCTCTGTACTCCAGGCTCCCTTTTGCACCCAACCTTCATCCTAGACTCCACGCCCCTTCTATTCCTTGGATTATTACACCCTTTGCTCCCCCCAATCCCCTGCCGTAGGTCATTACCTAAATCCTCTGCATCCTGGTCGTACTCCTTTCCTAGGTCAGAATCCTCTCCTGAATCCCTCCCCCTTCATGGATCCTGAACCCCAATCCTCTGCCCCAGGTTGCAATTCCCTCCTTCACCCATTCTCCCTCTGTACTCCAGGCTCCCTTTTGCACCCAACCTTCATCCTAGACTCCACGCCCCTTCCATAGAAAAGTGTGGTCCTTGACCACTCACCAAAATTGAGTGCCCTGCCGTCAAATCTTATTGCCTAGCCCTGGATTACATAGTGTGGTGATTGGTGATGGAGGGGTTTGGATTATTTAGTTTTCAATGCTTTCAATGTGATAGTCAGAGAATGCTTTATAAACTAATGGTTTTGGTGTTGGTGAACATATTTAGATGGCAAGATACTACTTTGTTAATAATGTTCATGATTGAAATTGTGTATGTTTGCATCATTCAATCTTAATTTGTAACCCAGGGGAATCTAAAAGACATTGAGCAATATAATTGACAAAGCCCTGAATGCATGTTGTATAATGTAGTGAATAAGCTACAGTTATAACTGAATTAAATTGCTTATGTCCATTTGATAGATGGTAAAATGACTGCATTTCATGGAATTTTAGACCAGCTATACTTTGTAGTTTCCTGCAGTAACAGCAGCTTGTCAGTTTGGAAAACTATTGATATGAAACTTTAACTTCTTAAAATCCCATCAAAAGGAAAGTCAGTAATAGTTTTACATCTTATGTGTGTCATGCTCATATTTTACTTTGCTGTTGTCCATGTTGGCCTGGCTAAGCACAGTAGGTTTTATTTTAGTGGTGTTTCTTAGTATTGTGTGTAGTTGTGCCTCTGTGTGTGGTATTGTCTTTAAGCTGCTTTGGCTAAGGAGGTTTGGAGACCTGAGTATCTATATCTGCCAGTATCCTGTTGCCATAGTGAGGG